CAGATATATATCTGTTCGCGCATGTGCAGAATGGATCGAGTAGTGACATTGCTTTCAGTGCAGCTAAACTTAGTAGTTACAGGTCTAGCGCCCCTTGTGGCTAAAAGTTGCACAGTGTTGCTTTAACAAAAGCAATTTCTTCACCATTGTCATGAGAGGCAGATGGCTGTATATTCTTGGTAAAAATGTGCAAAAAGCTGCAAGTGGCTTCAAGTAGAATTGGACTAGATGATAAATGCTTGGCAGCAGATATGAGTATTGAGCCCTGTGGTTTCCCTCTTTGGAATCTACAGCTTGGAGAAAATAAATAAAACCCTGACACATAAAAACAAACACAAAGCAATCAGGGGTAATTAAATGAAACTGTACGATTTGGGTCATCTTAACAGAGCTCTTTCAGTGGTTATAATCGGTGGGTTTTCATTCAGTTAATCTAAAACGGTTAATGTCCCTTCATCGACATTGACTTAGAACATGTTTTTTTTGTTTTTTTGTATGAAAAACTGGCTGTTTGAAATATTATTATATCATATTATGCTTTTGTATCTGTGAGGTATCGGTCATGTTTGAGCTCCAGATGCAGATAGAGATTAAAGTTTTTAAGATTAACTATCCTATATGTGTACACCCCCCCCTAAGATATGCAAAAATTACTTGCAATAAAAAAAGTCCAAGGTAAGTTAAACTTGCTATATATCCAATCATGGGTTCTAAATTGTTTTATCCGTTTCAATGTTTTTTTTTCAAATACAAGAAAAAAAATGTGCTAAAAGTGAAAAGATCTCCCAGCTGCTTCATTTGCAAAGGTGTATTTCACTATAGGATCTGCATTTTATTAGGATTATATTAGACTGAACAAAAAACAAACTAGCATAATAAAAGGAGTAAAATATTTTGTAGTTTGCAAAACTTTTATATGAATAAAAAAGCAGCAGTGCATTTCTATAAAGCCTCACTTCCACTAATAACTTCAAATATTTAATCCAGAGATCCCAGCTGCCTCCATAAGTCACCTAAATTGTGAATAGAGCACTTTTGGAAGGACCTGAAAACCAGCGAGGAGAACTTTACCAACCAGATCTAATGTGGAAGACATCAGACTGAGGTTTCGTAAGGAGTGGCTTTCCAGAAACAAAACCAAGGTTTCTGAGAGGATTGTGGCAGAACTAGACAACCGATTTGTTTAGCGTTTCCTTGGACTCATGTCTGGATACAACTTTTCATTCCTGATAGCTGAGGATTACTTGTGTCGTTCACGTTCCACCCACTCTTGCAATCCGCCAGGATAATGCTGAACGCTACAAAGAAGGAAATAAAAGACAATTAAGGAAACAAGTCGAAAAAAACGTCTACTTCACATTAAAGTTCTTTACTTCTTTACTGACAGAATGATGAACTTAATTTTAAAACAGATCTGAAACCTTCTGGTTTATTCACATATCACAGTGTGTAGCAAAATGTGTAAAGGTAAGTTTTAGGGAGTCAGCATGAAGCTGGCTCCATCTCGAGATCAGTTTTTTGTTCCTTTCCTCCATTACTGATCTGTGGTCAGTGCTAGATTGCAGCCTCTTCTGCCTGTTTATCACAGTGATGTGTGACCACGTAACGTGGAGGATGTTATGACGGCATTACGCCTTGTGTTGCTTAGGAAACTGGCTTCAAACTAAATGGAAACATTGTAAATTTGCATTTCCTTTCTTTCAAACATTTAAATGTTTGCTTAAAATTTGAATTTCAGTTGGATGGAAACATGGTTGCTCACTACTTTAGTTGAGGCTCCTTGATTTTATGCAGGGAATGTTTCTATCAATGATTCAATCCCCATTCTGAAGCATTGAATTAGAAGAGCCTGATAGAAATGATCTTTTATGCACATTTTCGGTGATTTACAGCAAAGTTATTCTCAAAAACTTTTTTGAGAAAATTTGATAATTATGTCTTTCAAAGTTTAGTTTAGTTTTTTTTTTTCTTCCCGTACTCACGTTCTTGTGAATTAAGAAACGGCCTATGTCTGAATGAAGGTCGTTTTCAGCGGTACTTCTGCTGTGATCCATTTCGGGGGCCTGCTGTCCCGCGTTCGAGGATGAATCACCCAGACAACAGAGGGAAAGTAGAGACGGCATTCTGAAGCTCAGACAGGAGCAGCGTGGAACATCAACAAGAGAGCATCAGAAACGGGATGAGGAGGCAGCTTTCTCAGTGCTTGCTAGCGGAAGCAATCTAATTTCGCCAAACTCACCAAAATCACCTCGCTATATATGCCACCTTCTCTTGCAGCACTTTAAAACCGCCCTCTACATAGAGGTAACAAAAAAAGTCCTACCTTCTAGCGGCTTACTTTGTGTTTGGTGCGAACGAACGAACACATCAAATGTCGCTTGGGTCTGGTCGCGAACCAGTTTTGCTGGTATGCTTCTGCGCCGTCAGTCTGGAATTTCTAGGGACGCACAGCAGTTTCCTGCCAAAGCGCAACTGATGGTCACAAGAACTTCGGCAGTGCCGGCGGGAGTGTTTATTTTCCAAAATAACAATGGCGCGCCTGCAAGATATCACGGTCACAGAGATGGATCTAGAGTTGCCAGAAATCGAAGAGGAACAGCCTCTGTTAATAGAGTTGCCAAAAAGGCTGATTAACCTTTTGTCGTAGCTGTCCAATGTAGTTGTTCCTCAGTTTTTAAAAATGGCGCGCCCCGGCACCGAATCAAGAAGGACGACCACACAGACAGCCGGAAAGGCATACCAAGGACCAATCACAACTGCTTTTTGTCTGCGGACTTTCACTTGAGGTCTGCGCGGGTTTATGACCGTCTGACGTGTAGCCAGGATTTATTTGAGGTGCGCAACGGTGGTTGCAGAACCTCTGCGCGGGGGGCATGGTCGCGCACAGAGACAGATTTGACGGTTGTAGAGGTTATGCGTCAGAAGCATAAATTGGCCGTAAGGGGGCCGATAGCCTGCAACTTTTAGATGTTTCCTCAGTCCAACACACATGAACCAGTTAATACGATGACCAAGAGGAATCTGGAGAAACAGCATGTATACTAAAGAGGTAATTCAGTCATTTGATTCAGGTGTGTTGGATTCAACAGTCACAGGATACCAACCCTCAGGAAGTGGATGATGTTGCCACCACCATGCACCACAGTAGGAATGGCATGTTTGTTCCTCATGCATTTAATTTATGAAGTATAACCAGGATTTTCCTGGAAGGGGGGGTGAGTCTACGACCTGAGCTGTAGATCTCTGTGTCTATGACTGAGAAAAACAAACACACACACACAAAAAAAAACCACAACGGTCTCTACTAGATTATATTTCAAAGCAACCGGTTGCCCTAGATTTCATTTAGGGGTATTAGGAAAAGGGGATGATAAAATATAAATAAAGAGTAACATTTTATTTATTTTTTGTTTTTTTTCTAAAAGAAATTTTAAACCATACATTTTAAATAAATTGAATATATTAAATTGTGTAATTAAAATGAAAACAAAGGAATATGGCCTTTTAAATTAATAATCTGAGGGCTTCTTACTCTCTATATCCCAGGGAGGCGGCTGTGTTGAGTGCAGTCTTGCTTCTGACCCCAGCCAGACACACAAAGACAACATTATCCGTTTGTCTCGGCATTTCCCCGTCATATTTTTCTCTGAACTCCTCAGGAGCAAGCTGGAGGGCAGAGCTCACCTGTCCCACTGGGCCATGAAGGCAACACGAACATGAGAGATAAGAAGTCACCGTTAGATAAAAATAACACTTTAATGAGGCACGCGTTGTCAAATTTTAAACCATATAGATCATATAAAGACAATAAAACAAGGCAACAAAGATAACCCGAGCTCTTTTTTTTTTTTTTTTTTTACTCACATGGGACGTTCACTGACCCAGGGATGAATCCATACTCCCTGAGCTCCCATGGCTCTCGGACATCTACCACCGCTGTTTTCCCCTCAGCCAGGAGCCGCTTCAGCTGCTCGTAATCTACGTCTGTGTTTCGGGCTTCAGAGCTGAACCTCATGCGCTGAAACTCACTTTCTGAAAACAAAACAAACACACCGATATAAGGTTTATATATGGACCTCACCGCGATACGATTATTCCCTTGAGTAAAACTCACTTTTGTAGCCGCTGTAAGTGTTACCAAAGCTGGACACAGTTACCCGTCCGATATAGGATGATGACACTAGCGGGACGGGGAGTCTCGGGAGAAATCTTGCCAACCTCCAGCATCTTCTAAGCGCCATAACAGCCTGACCGAGAAATTCCTGCCAAACACGCCGATAGCACACAGCACCGCAACGTTGGATGACTTTCACGCGCAGCTACAAGAATCCGTCCGCGCATGCGCAAAGACGTAGACGAGGGACTAATGTAAAGAATAACACTTGTGACCATATGTTTATTTCTTAATAATCATTGAATGTTTACGCATAAAAATAATGTCAAACTTTTACACAGGAAATTGGAGGTCATTATAATTTTAATGAGACATTGTGAACTGGACCTGAATGCAGCATTTGATCCCGCTGGCCTGCCGTAGTGCGTCATATGTTGACTTCTGCTGCTAAAGCTACAGAAAGATAGGCAACTATTTTAGCTGGAAGTGAACCCTAGAAAAAGAAAACCCTCTCGAGTTTTACGGCTGGTTTGTTGTCGCTAACGTGGGCGTTTGACATGTCTTAAAGGAGAGGTGTTTGTGTTGGCTTAAAGTTACGTATTAGTTGCCGCATTCGTTACGACATGCTCATGTAGCTAGCTGGTTAGCTAGCTGGTTAGCTAGCTTGGGGGAGTTGAGACATTACTGTGGGCTTCAGCTAACAGCAAAGGAGTGAGCTGAAAGAGGTGAGCTTAATCTGTCTTAAAGCCAATACTTTTGAAGGTGTAGATTTCTTATGTAAATATCACAAAGGTTTTATACACAAACCTTATTAAGCTGTCAGCTGTGTCTAGGCCTCCTGTCCTTGTTCTTGAGTAGAACATGAAAAATGTTAATACACTCATTTTCTTCAACTGTCATGCTTTACTCGTGTGTCGATAACTTATTCCGTTCAACCATTCAGACTTGATCTAAATGTATAAATATGTCAGCGCTAAATATGATGAGTGGATATTAGATTTATTACTTCAACAAATATCTATTGGATCTCAGTGGCAGCATAAAAGTCATACAAGTTATTCAGCCCTGAAATCGTCAGAAAAACTGAAGGTTTTTGCCCTTATAAATGATTTCTATGACCTTGATCACTACAATTTGGCATGAAACTATTCCATTCATCCTTGGGTTTGTACAAGTCTTAAATGACTGATAAATTAATAAAGATAAAATAATAGATATTAACAGTGTTTGGCAAAAAAAGCAGATTTTTTAAAAATAGTTGTGTTTTCACAGAATTCCCATCATTTTCATGCATTTCAGTTAATTCATTCACCTCATTATGACCTTTTTATCAGTTTATCAATCCATTATTTTTTTTCTGTCATCTGTCTGCCACACATCGGTATATCTGTCTATTGTTCAGGGGTTCATCTATCTGTTTGACAATTTAAAACTCATCTTGCCGGCCAGCCATCCATCCATCTTATGGACTATGTTTTTGTTTAATATCTAAATATTAAGCTATACTAATTTCAGTATAACTGTTTTAATTTCATCTTCAAGTTTTGTTCTTATGCCTTTAAAAAATGAAGATGGTCTGACTATTACATACAAAATATAGCCTTACATCAAAATTGTGTATGAACCCTTCATGTATTCTCATTGGGTTTTATTAGTTCTTTTCCCCCATATGCTCCAGCTTTTGAGGCTTGTTTTGTTTGTTTTGGTTTAAATCCTCGGTGGCTCAAAAGTATAAAAGTGGAAAGACTTCAACAGCTAAGAGACAAACTAATGTCCAGTTTTCTAAGGCCACAAAGGGTATCCAGAAGAAAGCATTGAAAACAGCTGTCAAGAAGCAGGCGTCTGAGTAGTCTTGTTTGAAAAAAGTCAGCAGAAGAGTTTTTTGCTTAAAAATAAATTAGAAAACCTGACGTACATTACATAAGTGGTATCAGAACCACAAGGCTTCTAGAGAAAATTCCTTTACACAGATGAGAAGGAAATTTGTTTGACTATTATAAACAGTCACAAATTGGTAGAAAACAAAATGATGCACTGTATATTAGCCCAGACAGATTCTAACAACTACCAAGCAAGGCCGAGGAAGACTGATGGTTAGGGCCTGCTTTGATTTTTAGAACACCTTTGAATCGACTCATCAAATTAACCATAAAGTCTCATTCCAACCTGTTCCTAATGCCGCAGGACAGAAGGGTTTTCTATCAAAGTGGGCGGGATAATAGAGGACTGATTTCAAGGCAGAGAGTCTGCAGCAGACTGACGGAGAAAAAAAAAAAGAAATGAAAATGCTTCAAAGGTTTCAAAGCCCGAATCCTCTAATTTTTATGAACTAAGGCAACATTTTATACATTTTCTTCTTATAGATGAAAGCGAGACCAATGACGTCAAACATATCATGACTGAATCCAGTTCCTATAAATGAAAGTTTCTCTATAAGCCACAGAAACAAGGAGATGATCTCATTACTGCAGGATCCCTGAAAACATCCTTATTATATTGCTTTGACAAACTCCCCAAAAACATGTGCTAAGACAGTTTTTGCTATTTCAATTAAAACAAATCACGATATCTTCCAAATTCACTTTCAGAGCTCCAGATGCGGCTAAAGGATCCCTTTTCTCTGAAAGCCGCAGACATGACAAAGCGGACAAATAAACCTCGGAAACCTCGAGATGAGGAGTCATCAGACGAAGTCAGTGGTAAGTAAAGGCTGGGCTTATAGTGGAAGATTTAAAGTTGGTGAGTCACTCCTGATTCCACCAGGATCTAAATAATGATGGTTCAGTATGAATTGAAGAGAAAAAAAAAATGGAGCCTCTTGAGTTTAGGTAACAAATTTAACTGCAGTGCTGCACCACTAATAGAAAATGTTAGCATTTTTCTGAACAGATGGTAAAAAATAATCAGATCACAATCTGTAACATTATTAGCTTTCTTTTTATGCAGCTGAGGTTTTTTAAATTGCCAGAATAATTAAAAATAAACCTTGACTTGTTATAATCTTTCATTTGTTTTCTTAACGTCATCATCTATTAAAGATTGCAACCACCTATAAACTGAATATCCAGTTTACTTTGCATTCAGACTTACTTTCTGCATGCCTACTTCAGTAGATTTTGAAGTTTATTCTTTTTCCTTTTTAATTATTTTGAAAACAGAATTGATTTTGACCCAAACCTTGACTCTAAAAGCGTGGAATAAACAACTTTAAAATGAGAAACAGATGAAAGGTCAGGGCTATAAAAGTTACTCTTTTTTTATTTTTTGCTTTTCTAAAAAATGTTTTTTTTTTTTATGTTTTTTTTTTTTAGTTTCAGTAGGTTATTTGGCAAAACAATTTATTAAGCATTACTTCAAGCTGTAAGAAACTCAGCACTGCCTCCATTTGAATCATGGATTCCTCTGTAATTCTGATGATTTTTCAAAAGCTAAAGGCCCTGAATAAATGATCCAACAATAAAAGCTTCAGAAAGTCTTTCATGTGAAGAGTGTTTGTTTGTTTTCCAGGACTAACATGCCAGCATGTAAATAAAGCTGTGGACCTGAGCTCGGTGAAAAAGTCTGTCCTGTCGAGCGTGTGGCTGGTCTGCTCCGATTGTCTGAGGGAGAGGACGATGATCGACGAAGAGTCGACCACATCCCACGACATCCTGGTGTGCCTAAAATGTGGTTTTCAAGTAAGATGGCTTCTTTTTAAAACAGCATCAACAGATTTCCCTTTCTCTCACAGTTCTAAACAGCTTTTTTTTTTGCACCTTTAATATTAAAAAGCCAATTAAATACATTGAAGTTTGTGGTTTTAATGTGACTAGATCCCAGCTCAAGTCTGACGTCACTTTAATATATATTTTAATATAAAATATACACTTTATACAATATACGAATATACGCTTTAATATAAAATAATCTTTTTTATATAAAGAAGACTGAAGGAAGTGTCTTACAGGGCTGTAACCAGTCAGGAATCCAGCACGCCGTCAAGCATCACCAGACCTTCCATCCAGAGTCGCACTGCATCACAATCAGCCTGAACACGTGGAAGGCCTGGTGAGAACCCCGGGGTAGAGGGTAGGGCGATGTGGGTTGATGATGAAAAAATGTGAATCCAGAGAACTGAAACACTGACAATTAAAAAAAAAAAGTAGGAACAACAAATCTTTATTTTTTAAAACAGTCACAGTTTTTTTTTTATCCAACTAAACATATTTACAAACCCACATTAACCAAATGACTGTCCTCCAATCCACAATGGTTTTGGTGTTGAATAACGGCACCTTAGAGCTTCATCTTAGTAAAAGTACATTCTATACAATTTTTAATTAGTGGTATATTTTGGTTGTAGGTTTAATTGAATTCTTTCTGTGTTAGTTATTTCTGTCCTCCCTGCTTTTTCCAGGTGCTTCGAATGTAACGAGGAGCTCTCTACACACTGCAACAAAAAGGCTTTGGCTCAAACCCTCGACTTTTTACAGAAGCATTCAGTCAAGGCAGTATCAGGTAAGCTGGGACATCTCAGAGATGCAGAGATTCAGTCAGTCTCTCCTCCTCCATGAATATTAGTTTTTTTATGACTTAAATGGTTTTTAAAAAGTTTTTAGCTCAATGTTCTACTATACAGCTGCTCCCTACTGGCGATAGCTTTCTCCCCCCTCTAAAGGGCTGGTTATACTCCCGCAGCAGTGTGTCGCAGTGAGCTTATCGTAGATATTTTTGATTTATTCCCAATATTGAAGCGTGGTCTGCGCCATGTTATTCACAACGCAAGAGGGACAATCAGGAATTAGCTGTGGGTCTAGATACGGCCGAGGTGGTGAGGAAGTGGGGGCAAGTTTGTGTGACAACGGAGGGACATGAGGGCCAAAAAGGGCGGGGATCCAGGTGGAAAAAGGGTCCCAGCGTTCTCGCACACCTCGCTCTTCACTAGTCGTTTTCCACAATGGCGGCCTTAAGTCACACAAGATTGAGGAGTTATTTCAATGAGTCCAAGTTGGACAACCGGTACCAGATCCTGACGTTCGGTGGTTGCCATCATTTACATTTGGACCAAGATGTCCTTTCCCCCTCATTCAGTCCATCTGGGTCCCCCTCGCTCAGCCCCAACTCGCCATCATCTCATGTATTTACAGGCACACACCTTCTGTCTCTGGCTTCTGGTTGTGCTGGCATACATAGAGCTTTTCTAACATACTGTTGCGGATCAGAGTGGTGGGCATCAGCGCTTTTGGTCTCAGTGGTTGTCTCAGCATAGCCTACTACCCGGTTCCATGTCGCCAGCGGCCAGTTGCCCAGGCCCTGTAAAGCTGGTCCCTCATGTATCCCATGGATGGAGAATTTCAGGACTCGCTCTGCCGCAACCCCCCACCCCTCCCCACCTTGAACACCGCATGACTGCACATATTAGAGGAATTAAGCGCTTGAGTAACGCTTCTCGCCTGGGTTCCCTGAAGAACATGAGCAGCTGCGTGGGGGTCTAGCTTCTGCGCCGTCTTTCCTTGTCTTTTCCATCGCTATCCGTTTCTGTCCCCTGCATTCTCTGTGGAGCTGCTGTTCGTCTCACCACCTCTGGGCCTGTGTGCCGCACTAGTGGGATCCAGGGTCCTCAACAAGTCAGGGACTGGATTCCAACAGCTGGAGTGCTCTAAATCTCAGCGGACTCATGCTTATTATTCACTGAAAAGGGATAAAGGAAGATGTTGAACTTTGAAAAAGGAAATCCTCTTCCACTCAGTGGCGTTCTGTGTGTCCGAGGCCCGGTTAATAACTTTGCTCTATTGATATTCCTGATTTATCTTTGAATTGCCGTCCAGCTCTTTAAAACATTCAGCTTTTGTCTTGAGGTGTTCTTTTTTTGCCTTTGTTATTTTCTGAACAAAAAACTGTTATAAAAGGTGTATTAATGGGGAAAAAAATAATTGGGTTTGACAAATTCTGCAGTAAAATACTCATAATACAAACAGCGGCGGGGAAGGAAAGTAAAGTTACAATATATGCAACAGAACCAGTCAGCAGAGCAGATGATCCATATCAAAACAGGCAACTTTGAAGGGAAAGATTAATCTAAAGCTGGAAAAAATGATCTAGAAATAAGTAAAAATGTCTTAAATTAAGTGTATTTACCCTTAATTTGAGTAGGTAAATTAGATAGTTTGTCAATGGAATGAGTATTTTACTCTTATAATTATATAATATGCAATTTAAATAAGACAATACAATTGTGTTTTCTTATTTTAAGATGTCTCTTTTACCCCCTCAATCCAATAACAAATGCATATTTTAAGAAAAAATTATTTATCTAGATTTTATTTTTTTCCAGTGATAACAGGAACAGCTCACACATTAGCATAGTTTGAATTCAATAAAGCTAATGAAGAAGGAAAACTGGTTCTTCAGCCTCAGAACCTGGGATGGCTCCAGCTCTCTTTAGAAAGCTTTATACTTATCATCACCTCCTGGATTCATCTCTCTGCTTACAGATTACAGGATTGAACATTTTCAGATTAAATTAAGGTGACCCAGTACTTCACAAATCCAACCTCTTCGTAATGAGTTCCTTTACTTGGGAAAATGGTAAAATTAAAGTATTACCAGGCCCTTTTTTATGCAGAGTATCTAAAAAAAATCCCCTTTAATGGCCAAGTCGAGTGTACCAGGTTTTATCAGACGGCTCATGATTTCCAGGTTAATAACTGCGACAGATGGCTGGAGGTTGGTTCTCAGCGCTAAAACGAGGGTAGATGTTAGCCATGCTCCCTTTCTGCTAAATAAACCAGGTCAAGTATAATTTTTTACTTTATACTGGGAGGCTGAGAGTTCAGCAGCCGTGTCTCTCACATTAGCTAGAAGGGTAGCAAGGGCATTCCACATTGGACTGTTTACTAGATTTATAACCTCTTATGATTGTTTTTGTTAACGAAATGTGTAAAAAGTACAAAATTGATGGAGGTACTTTGGATTTCTTATAGTATAATCTGATGGAAAATGGTAGACCATCCATGACACCCTCTATCAGAAGTCTCTCTAAAATTTTAAAAAACTGGAGGAAAAAAAAAGACTACTTCAAAAATGCTGCTTTTCCAAAGATTTTCTTCTGTCATGATGAAACAAAGGGCTGTGACCAAAAAAAGCAGATGACTCAAGGTAGAAAATAAGTAACCATTGCAACGACTGCAATGATAAAAGCACATTGAAGTGAACAACTCAAACTGGTTTGAAGGCCAGGAAATAAAAGTGTGTTTTTCAAACAAGCCTTAAAAACAATAAGAGAGTTGGCCTGCCTGAAATGAAGCTGTGAATCATTTCATGGTGTTATTCCTCTCTGTCACCTTTGAGCAGATCAGAAAAACGAGAGGGTGTTGAACTGTTTAAGCATTTTCTACGCATACTGGAGGATTTAGAAATATATTCAGAGGTGAACCAAAATTCAAAGCTGCTAATTCTCTTTTGCCTTTACTATTTAAACATCAGGCTGCAGCATTTTGACCCAAGTTACAAACATACAATGGATTTCTGGTTGATTCTATAAAGAAGTGCATTGCGGGAGTCAAGCCTGGATTTTATGAAAGCACATATTACTGATGTCTAGTTTCTGTAGGCATCATGGGCGTTATTGTAGGCAGGCATGTAAATTAAAAGAAGCAGGATTTAACGATTTTCTATATGACTGTAATTTCATGGAAGGGTTGATTTCACTCCCAGATTAGCGGCAATCTGTAAATCAAATAAATCCTTAAAGGAAAGGTTTATTCTTGGCCTCCTGTTTTTTCTTCTCAGTGGAACAGTAAGCTTTTTAGTCTTCTCATTTAAAGCTCCAGTGTGTAGTAATTACAGGGATTTACAGACAGGAATGTAATGCATTACACATAAGTATCTTAATTATTATCATCTACGAATGGAAAGTCTCAATCTTTATGTTTGTGTTGCTTTAAAAATGGCTATTTATTATTACTTAGGAGTGGGTTGCGCTCGTATGAATGCAGACATCTTTGCACCACAGCAGTCTAAAGGCTGATTTATACTCAGAAATCAGGTCGTCTGCGTGTGTGTCACTGTGAATGCAAATGTTCCTCTGCCACAGACACTCTGCTGCACCTCTCCAAAATTATAGGTGAGACAGACAGGAGGCCTCTGATTGGTCAAATCTACATCCGTTCTACTCTATGC